AGCTGGATCAGCTGGAAGCGCCGTGGGTCCGGCCCGGGTCCTCTGCAGCTTTGCTCAGCATCTTCCTGGTCTGCATCTGCATCTGATCTTCCAGATCAGCGCCGCGGGTCCGGACCCGGGTCCTCCGCCGCTTTGCTCAGCGTCTCCCTGGTCTGCAGATCAGGTCTGCTTCCAGATCAGCACCGCGGGTCTGGCCTGGGTCCTTCACCGCTTTGCTCCCCGTCTCCCTGGTCTGCTGGCTCCCCCAGCAGACCAGGGAGATGGGGAGCAGCTTTTCTTGCTCTGGAGGAGGCGCGTGGCGGGACCAGGCGTCCTGCCGCTCCAGTCCTCCGGGGCGAGAAAATCCCCATTCGTAACTGCGGATCCGACATAAGTCGGATCCGCGTAACTCGGGGACTGCCTGTATTATTCTTCTGCATAGTAAAATTTCAGAGTTGTATTCAGTCAGTGTTGAGTAGCACATTTAATGTTTTGTTCAGAGTTAGGAACAATCTCCATTCCTGAAATGTTTTTTTGTAACTCTTGAGGTAATACTGTAAAACTCTTTTAATGACCGAACAAAACTGTCCACCCCCACAAAAACCATTTCCTATCAAAGTCCTTCCTTTTCAGAAGCCTGAGTAAATAATCCTAGCAGTGTTTCATGAAGGGCAAAAAAACTCTGGTTATTCAGACCAAGGAGAGAAGCAGCCAAAGCTGAGGGCCCTTCAGAGAGAACACTAGGCTGATGGCCCCCTCCTTTTTTTACATCCAGAGAATGCCAGTTCAGGTGATTGTGATCTCCGCAAAGCAGTTAGACTATTTTATATTTCCCCAACCCATTTAGGGCTTTGGGTCAGAACCTCACCAAACTCTCCACTAGAAACCATTAGACAGCCAATGCATTACATGGAGCACAGGTGTGGTATACTGTTGGCGACATTAGACCACATGCCAATTAGGAGTGTTAGCTATCGGGTAATTGAATAATCATGTAACTTCATCAAAACTTTGTGGTTACACGACTATTCAATATTCCCTAGGGGTGGGGCCGGCAGCCAGTGCACTCCCAGCCCCACTTCTGGGAAGCCTCCTACCACCTCTTGCTTGCTGCCTCTCTATTGGTGGCAGGGGGGAGCCAGTCTGTGAGGGGCCCCCACCATAGACACGGGCTGCTGCCACAACCCCACCCCCACACACACACCACCCACACCCCGCAGACGGGGCTGCTTTGCGGCAGCAGTCCCTGTCCACAGGGAATTCGAGCTCCCCGTGAACATAGGCTGCTCCATGGGAGGCGGAGCAGCTTCTGTCCCACAGGGAGCTCGGATCCCCCTCAGACAGGGGTTGTTGCCATGAAGCAGCCTCTGCCCACGACGGGCTCGGGCTCAGGCTCACCGCAAACAGAGGCTGTTCTGTGGGAGGCGGAGTAGCCTCTGTCCCCAGGAGCTCAAACGCACTGCGAACAGAGTCTTCTTCGTGGCAGCCTTCCCAACCTCCGGTGCTGCTGCTTCTGACTCCCGGCTTGCACCCGGTACCCTTTGCTGTGCCTTAGCCTTTTAAATGGATTAAGAGCCTGGTGACTCTTAATACATTTCAAAGGCAGTACTGCAGTGGGGTTAGCCTCCTGGACTGGGAGCTAATCCCACTGCAGCTCCGCAGTTTCTCCTGCTTTTCGACTAATAGTCAATGGAAATTCCATACACTAATTAAGCACAATTTAACATCCCTACTAATGACCTTTATAAGTCTTTCAACTTTTGCCTTTCCAGCTTGTGCTTACTATTTGAAGTCAAGTCCCTACCTTATATTAGGCCTATTTCACTTCGTCCTATCTTTCTGCTCGCTTGGCGGTATACAGAAGCAGGGGTTAAACAAATGAAGGTAAAGGGTCAGAGTTGTATTGCTGCCTCATTCACCTCTTTCATCCAGGGCTGAACAAATCATTTGTTTCCCATATTTTCCATAAAGTGAGTAAAACTGGAATTGTGCCATTTCCAAATGGATTTCTACATTCACAGTTCTAACAGGAAAAGGGTATTCACTCATGTTAGAGATGGATAAAGATTAAATTACCTTCCTCTGTACCATAAAATATATTGTATTGGATTTCACAGTTACTATGGATACAGGATTTATTTAGGGCTCTTGTGGGATCTTCCTCTTGGCTAGAAAATACTGCCAGATGTATAACAACACTTTTTTTTAATGTCAGGTTCTGGGATTAGATCTCCATCCATATATCCTGATCAGGTATATGACTGATAATTCTACAAAATTTCTTTCCTTAATTTGTCAATTTAGTTCTGAAGTTGCTACTTGTTTCTGATACAAAGTTCAATTTAAATGTGTATTTTGTGTTTTAGATCCATAGAAGTAAAAACAAGTGGAAGTTTCACCTCAAAGATGGCATAATGAATCTCAATGGAAGAGATTATGTATTTTCCAAAGCCATTGGAGATGCAGAATGGTAAAGTTTTTAAGACAAAACAAAAAAACTAAGAAATAAAGAAAAATCAGAATGGTTGAGACTTGGACATAAACTTCAACCAAAACTTGTCTGCACATCAGAAAAGAACAGTACAAACAACTACCACAACAAAGATGGAGCGTGGCAACATAGACACTACTACAAATGGGCAAGCCATGGGACTGTAGCAGCTAGCATTGTCTGGGATACCTTAGGAATACCTTAATTATAAATTCTATATACAGGTATCTGCAGCTGGTAATTAGCATGTAAGGCTTTGTCTCTCCCTTCCTTCCCCTAGGGTTAAGGTTTTAACATTTCTTCCACTGAACTGAAGGAACTCTTCCCTTTTGATATACTCTTAGTCTGAAAAAATGCTTGTGTGTACAAATCTTTGTTTTGAACACTTCCCTTTGGTAGTGAGGGTAGTCAGGATATTGTTTGAACTGTGTGCAGGCTTTGTACAGAAGGATAAGAATTAAGGTGATAAATTTTAATTATCTTGTATAACAAAAATATTTTTAATTCTGCTATATTCATGTATAATTTTAACTACCATTTTTTCTCAGTTCTTCTCCCATAAAAAAAATCTCATTCCTAGCAGTTACAAAATGTAAAATGATTACTTATATTTTAAAGCCATTTCAATTTGACATGAATGACTCTTTTCAAAAGTGCTGAGCACCTGTAGCTCCTCTGAAAAATCAAACCACTGTATTATTTTAAAATATATTCTTGATGTGTGAAGTGGTTCAGCCTGATGGAGCTTAGAGGACTGACACTCTGTGGTACTTTTCCTTCATTTCTTTAAAAGATTACAAATGAAAACTCCAGGTAGTCTGGTCTCTTCATGTATGCATTCCTCCAACTGCTTACTACATGTATGGCCCAGGCATCCAGGAATACAGCTGGACAAATACTACAGGAATAACAAAATTGGAGAAGAAAGGTTTTATATTTTATAGCCATTTATAACTTAGCTGAAGTTCTGCTAATTAGGAAACAGCTTGATTTTTAAGCATAATCATATTGACATGTGATGCAGGTAACCTGTTTAAAATCTCAGGTGACATGCAATTTTGGTGGTTTTTGTTTAAGAATGCATCAATGAGGAAATACTTTTGTTTGCTTTATGTAAGCAAAAAATTGAAAGAGAGAGCGAGAGGTGGAAATGCAAAAATTAGGTCATATAGCTAAACGCTAACGTAACTTCACTTGTCCAAAAGTGACATGTCATAAATAGGAAAAGACTTTTGCAATTTAGGGCAAACACACCTTTTCTTTGTGTGCTGGTTCTGTTTGCAAATCACGTTTTCCAGAATAGAGTCCTTGCTTCAGCAAAGAAGAGGGAATTGGAATTATAGATCAAATATTTCCAACAAAGGAATGAGCGAGCTTTATGTGGCTCCCCATTAAAAGACAACTTAATAATGTTCTTACTAGCTATCTGAAAAGCAAGGAAAAAAAGGCACAGGAAGGCAAATTTAACTAAAATTAGGGAGAACTGCAGAAGCAGGGACTTTACCCAACTTCTTGGCTTTTGGTTTTGCAAAATGAAACTTTTTAAATTGCAAGTGTATTTAATTAGCACGGTATATTAACTGCCTTCTGTCTCCCCTACCTGTCTTTCTTTACTGACCTCTAAGTGCATTCATAGTCTCAGTAGCTTACAAGAAATTCACAGCACATTCATTGCAAGGAAGAAATCTGAGCAGTTATATATGTTTTTGCACCTGTGGTGTCATTAAGTAGAACAAAGCTGTCCTTAATTCACACATAGAGCCTTATGTTTATTAGTAATCCACCTGGTCTGCATACATTATAAATGTTATTAAAGTTCAGTTTCTGGTATTACTAACCCATAGTTAATTAATGCTGTAATCATTTAGGATACAAATTTGGCTTTGGACTTCAAGATCTCTCATACTAAATGTTTTTTTTCTTTTTTCTCTGTACAAAGCAGACATTATGTGGGTTTATTTAATCTACCATGATATTTTTAAAGCATGAGACTACAGTGAAATCAATTACTTATCAACAAATTATTGCCCTTGTTTCTCTCATGTATCTTCGAGTAGTGGTGATGGCTATCATGAGAAAATTCATGGCCTTTGAAATTACTGAAATATGGATTTAGAACAAATCCCACATAAGGCACAAATGAACCAATGAAACTCCTTTAGCGCCAGATTCCTGTTTATACTACTGGAACCCAGATTACTGTACAAGATATTTAGTCTCTTCTTACTTTTAGGGTTCTTCACCCACATGTTTAGAGCAGACATTGCATAGCTTTTTATTTATTTTAAGGGATACCACAGCTTATAGGTGACTTACATATAAGTTATCTTGAAGGACATTTAGAAACCATCTGTATTTGCACAGTGTCTTGTGAGTTAGTTATGGTATGCTTGGCAGATGAAGGTTTTGGTCTTATAATACAAGTACCTGTGAAATCTTCTGAAAGCCAGTCAAACGTAAACATACCAAACTGTGCTCTTACTGCTACGTCAAGTGTTCCTTTTTTAAATCAGAAAGCATGTTTTAATTTCATTTTGTTGTAGCAGCTTGCTGTAAGAAAATAGTTAGCTTAATTTTATTATTCTACTTGAATTTTAATCATGGTTTTAATGTAATTGAACAGACCATTTCATTAGGTTCCATAGAAACCATTCCTTTCAGAGGGCAAGGGATTCCCATGTTAGTTTTTAAATTATAATTTTTGAAAGTAGAAAATAGATTTTTTTCATTTAAATAGTTCAGTATTAAAAGGCAATTAACGGTTTTAAGAGGGCTTATGTTTAGATTTGCACAGGTAACAGAGCACCTTTTTTGACTTTTAAGATGGGAAAAAATGAGTGATAACTTCATGGTTAAAATATTAACCATCAGGGCTAAATGAAAATTCAGAGCAACTGGACAAAGTTGGGAGTCTTGTGCCTTCTCAATTTGCAGATTTTCCTGCTTTGTCAGCATGATGATAGTCGAGGTTTATCTGATTCCTGAGACAGTAGATGTCCTGCAGTGCTTCAATCATAAATAAACATGTTAGCTCTAATTATATTGGCTTTTTAGTGTGTGCAATCCTTTAAAAACATCAAAGTTGAAAAGGAAAAAATAATATGTTGTCTGTTAAGGAGATAATAGAGACTTAGTCAAATACAGAACTTTATATTGGACTATTTAAATAAAATTTATAACTTTATTCTCTCCCTCTCCCCCATGTTAGTGGAAATGTGTGAGGTTTCATCCATCTTGTTCCTGCATTGTAATTACAAACTACTTTTTGACATGAGTAATTTTCCTAGCAACACATCATGATTTCATAAATATAAAGGTTGTGGTCACATGTTCATTCTCAGAGGGATTTGATTTGGTTCTGAAGTACAGGTGCCGGAAAAGAGCAAATAACAAATGAAATGTGGTAACAGAACTTTATACAAATTGTTTGGGAGAGGAGGTTTTATTTTGTTTTATTTTTGAATTGGTGTAAGAGTCAAGTAAATTTTGCTGAATTGTAGTTTTGTTTTGTGAAAGTAACTGTATCATCCATCAATACCCAAAAGCAGTTATGTCACCATAAGAACACTACTGTAATAAAAATTTGTAATTCCAATGCAGGAGAAAAATGAGATCCTTTTCCCTAAAGTTCACTTTGATGTTTGTCTTCCATTTGGAAAAGTTCCTTTTTTATTGTTTGCAGAATGCAATAACATGTTTAAGAATTAAGCCTGTGGTTTTAGGGTACTGCACACTGTGGATTTTTATTGGGCCACCTTATACAACTTTGCAATTTTTTATACAAAATTTAATTCAAAGTTGTTTCAAATTTTGAGTTTAGTGGTTACAAAGGACAGGGAAACTTGTTTGTCGTTACATTTGTGGTTTTGGTCTCATGTTTCCTATTTTTCTGAATGCTTGGGGCATATATAGAAGCTAGGCCTTGTTTCCTGCAAATTAACTTGGTATTGCCTACTTATTTTAGCAGTTCACTTTTTTAAATTCGGTTTGGATTGGATTTGGAGGATAAAAAGGAACTTTTTTAAACGGGAAGAACTATTTTTGGATTAGCTACATGTGTAGCCATCCAGTGTTCAGTTGTTCCAGTGTGCATAGGGTACTAATAAAAATACGGGGAAGGGAAATATCCTTTTTTGCTGTTCTGAGCTACTATTGTCAACTGCTGTTGTACATATACTGTTATGTGTAAGGGGGTAAATATATTTATTATGTTTGTAAAATTCATTCTGTACAATTGCAGATCAAGGTTGCTCTTCTGTGATATACAGGATATTATGTTTCAAAGGCCATGCTTGGAATACAATTAGAGAGCTTAGTATTTTGATGTACTAAGACCTATTTTAAGTTTAATATTTTGCCTTTGCAAAAATTTTAATTAAAGATGTTATTTAAAAAAATAAGCTTGCTATTTTATTTACTCTTTCTTGACACATTAGTTATAGATAGGTGATTGTTTAACTTTAACAGGATTCCCAAGTATTTTCATAATTAATTTTATTCAAAGCAAAAAACCCACGAGTATTTCCCTTTTAATCGCTGAGGTGAACTTGCTGCATTGTCTCTTTCATTTGACATTGTGAACAATGTTATGAAAAGTCAGTTTTTCATTTTAAGATTTGGAGGATCAATCAGCATAAAAGATCTTTGGCAAAGAAAAAAAGCTAATCAAATAGCCCAGTACACCTAGATCAGGTGTTGGCTACCTACAGCACACATGCCACTTATGGCACAGGAGCCAATTTTCAGTGGCATTCCAGAGAGAGCTCAGGATTGAGTCCTGGAAAGCAGCAAGTACTTTGAAAAGGGTCACAGTGGACAAGCAGCTGAACCTGAGCACCTAATGGAATGCACTGGCAAGAGTTTATGATCCTTGGATGTGTGAACAGGTGAAACCAATAGTAGAACACTATGTAATGTGTGTGGTTCTGGTGTGCAGTTTAAAGAGTATGCTGAATTTGAGTGTGTGTGTGTAAAATACAAAAAAAATTAGAAAGCTAATGCAAATAAATACCTTTCTTTGTGTAAGGAAGGATAAGATTTTATAATGGTGAAAGATTTTTTTCTTCTCTTTTCTTAGCTACACTTAAGTGCACAATTACAGGGAAGAAATAAAATAATGGGTTAAAATTCACACATTTTGTTTTTCTTTTTGCAGAATGCCTGTGCTGCCAACTCTCATCTTAGGCAATTTAAACACATTTATTCTCACTGTGCTGTTTCTGATTTTAAAGGAAGAAGCTTGAAGTAATATAGGAGATAATATGCTTTGGGATTTCATGGGATAATACTTACCCATCTGGTTCCATATCGAAGAACAACTGGATACACTGTGGAGGTGGCAAAAAGATGATAGACAAAGGAACATTCTTTCTTGTTTAAAGTCTTCTCGCTGCATGTTGCAAATTAGAAAGACACCTGTTGCTGAGTTTCTCTTTTCTGTCATTTATTCTAGCTCTTAACAGTGTTAATGTTGCTGTTATATGTTGAAAGGCCTGGGATACTGCGAAGCTAAGTAGTGAATCAGCTGGGGACAGCAAAGTGAAATCTGAATGGTTAAGATACGTACTTGCAGGACAGTCATTAGCTCTTAAATGGCTAATTCTCCAGTCAGCTTCTGATTATCCATTATTTCATGCCACACCCCTTTGTTCTTTTTCCTTTTGAGAGAAGAGGAGGAAGAAAAGCAAATAGTGTTCTCAGCCACAATAAAAATAATCCCATCTCACCAAGTAGAAAACAATCTGTGCTCCGACCTGTCATCTTTATCTGAGTTTGATTCTCATGTTTTGAAAGAGATGGACTTTAAGTCCTGAGACTACTAGGTGTTCATGCTACTAAAATTATATGCTTAGTGTATTTTTACTGACCACTTCTGTGTAAAGGAAAACATGCTAGTTCAGTTGTGTAATTACTACTCCTTATAATAACATGTCAAAACCGCCCAAGCTACAGTGATCTTTGTCTTCAGACAACCTTTGTTAGATGGGGAGAGGGAGGAAACTTGAATCCTGATAGAAAAAAAAATGGAAACACAGGATGAAACAACAAATTCTTCTTAACTCTATGTTGAGACAAAATTACAGGACAGTACAATCTTTATCAACCTCTGCTGATGTCCAAATCCCACCCAAATGCAGTGTCCATTATTTATCCCACTTCATAAGTTCTTGGTCCATCATCACTCCAACTAACTGGGTCTTAAGTTCAATAGATTTAAAATACACCTTTAGATTTCTTTCCCTTCTTACTCCACTTCCCCTTCCCATCTCTCTTCAGGGACCATGCTCATAGGACCAGCCTTGAGTAGGAGATTTAGTCTCTCCTTCAAATTGGAGCCACAGAGGAAGTTCCTCAGGAGGAGTTTTACTCCCATTATGTACTTATTACAAAAGCAAAAGGTTCTCAGACCCATTTTAGATCTAAGAGTTAAATTCCTGGAGTAACTAAACTTATGCATCATCATTCCTCTAGCTGCTATTATGTTTTACCTAAGGCAAGGAGCAGAGGTAGGCTGCTCTTGACTTAGCTGCTCATTTCCATATGTTCCTTCATCTCCACAATTGGCTGTTGAAAGGTCAATCCAAATCACAGGTAGCAACTGTCAAGCATAGCCATGATCCAGTCTACCTTCACATAGGGAATAGAGATTCCTATTCTGCATGGACAAATCAATTATGAAACTACTACCAAGAACAGAATTTGTCCAAGTGGTCCAGGATTCTACAAAGGCCAGAAGTTTTCTACTGCAGTGGACTTAGTTTGAGAGAGCACATACTGTCACAATAGGCAGTTGCCTCAGTTTCCTAGGGTACGAAACAGCATGCCAGACTGCACCTGAGAAGACTACAACGGTGGTTAGATTTGGTATATTCCACAATCCACCATAGCCTGGACAGCCTGATTCCCGTACCAATCCTAGTCTTGTTCTCCCTGGACTGGTTGACAGACCCTCACAGTTCTTTTTATTCCACAACATCAGATTCATCTGACTATGGGGGCCTCTCCACATGGAATCTGCTTGCAACAAAAACCAACAGAAAGTATCATAACTTCTGTTCGTGGGGATAGGGACAAAGCCTAGACTTATTGACAGATGTGGTCCAGCTACCCTGGGGGGAAAATGGTCTTCCCTCCAATCCTGATGCTGCCCAGAGTCTTGTCCAAAATCAAACAAGACCATACTCACTTCAATGCACAGCACCAGTGTGACTTTGGCAGCACTGGTTCTTGACCCTACCCGCCTTGTCAGTCAAACCTCCATTGCCTTTCCCATTAGATTCAGATGTTTGTTTACCAGGACCATGGCCACCCTGGCTTTCAGGTCCTTTGACAGCATGGATGCCTCATAGTTAGTACTGTTTGAATAAGCTTGCTCAAAGGCATGCAAAAAGTACTTTAAATAATATAAAACCTTCAACTAGGGTTACTTGCTGGGCTAAATGAAAGTATTTTCCATCTGGTGCTCTCAGAAGAGTGTTCACCCAAGTGAGCCCCATCTATTCTATATGAACAGTCTCCTGCCTGCAACTTCAAGATCTAGCAGCTAGCCCTGTCAAGGCTCAGCTGGAGGCTGTCTGCTTTCTATATGTTTAGAAAAATGACTCTCCATCCCCCCAATCCCATTACTATCCATTTTTTTTAAGGAACTGGACAGAATTCACCCATAGGTATATGAACCTATTACCCCAAGGGAGTTAGATCTTGCATTAGCAATGTTAATGCAATATCCTTTTAACCTCTCAACTTTTTTACTTCAACCCCCTATAAAGATTGCATTTATTTTAAACTAATCACCTTGGTGAGGAGCGTGCTTTCGTATCAGAGCCTGCCTATTCAGTCTTCTATAAGGACAAAGTTTACCTTCAGTATCACCTGAAATTCTTGACAAAAGTAGTTTCCAATTTTCTCAGTAATCTGGCAATCTATTGCCAACATTCTTCTGAAAACATCATGCTTATGGAAATGAAGTAAAGCTTCACTCTTCAGATGTCAAAAAGCTTTTAGCATTTTCCTTGGACCACAGTAAACGAGATCAACATCACAACTGTTTGTCAGGGTGGCCATCTTTTTTTCTCAGAATTTTTCTCCAGATTTCTTTGTATACTTGTTTGTCTTACGAGTTGTCTTATGTATCAGAGGTAGCCGTGTTAGTCTGGATCTGCAAAAGAGACAAGGAGTCCTGTAGCACCTTATAGACTAACAGATGTATTGGAGCATAAGCTTTCGTGGGCAAAGACCCATTTCGTCAGATACATCTGTTAGTCTATAAGGTGCTACAGGACTCTGAGTTGTCGTATGTTGCTCCACCAGTTAGAACGCTAACCTATTTCCTTAAAACATGCACAGCTTCCACGGTTTTCTGGGCATAAGTTTCAAATCTGCACATTTGCAAAATGCCAAGTTGGTTATTAGTATTTATGTTCACTTCTGATGTGGTATAGTCCTAGTCCTTCATTTCAGGAACAAAGTGAGAGCAGATTCCAAGCACGCTTCTAGACTGATCTGGTTATGAATCACCTATAATAGAATGG